TCGTGTTTCAGTCGTTATGACAGTCGTGATTAGGTCGTGCAAAATAAACGACTCGATCCAGACTTCTATACGCCCCAAGTCAGACCGATCAACGACCTGCCCGTGCACTGTGCCTTGGCCCCAGGCTGAGCAGGTGCATGGAACATAAGGTCACTAACAGTAATTAGGCCACACCATCTTAATTTTATGGATGACATCCTCTGAAGACCCACAAACAAGTGCGCGCGGGCGAATAAAAAACATTACGGCCAAAAATAAAAATGCTACTAAACCACAGGAATACAAAGCTGGTATTGTGAATTTGCGGCAGTACTTATCAATGTATACGACAAGCTAGCACATGCTGGCTTTTTGTGGAATTTATGAATTTGCACTGTACGTATGTACTGAGTTTTTGAGCCGTGGACCTTCGGTAGCCTGGGTGCCCGGCTCCGTATTGTCGCTAGCGACCAGGCCTAGAGCCTGGCCAGAGCCTCGCGCTCGATGGACCTGCTGATCTTTTTTTTTTTTTTGGAGAACAGGCGAAAATCAATGCGCGCGCGGATGTCATCCATAAAATTAAGTCAGTGTGGCCTTACTGTAAAACATGCTGGAAGAAAATAGACACCAACAGTCATTCACAACTTTTATACAATGCAATGCAGAAGTCCCGTGATAAGTCAATGCTTTTAGCAAATATTTTATTTATAGTATCAAGGAGGTTTAAAAAAATCAAGATTTTTTAACCTCCTTGGTAATGGTATGCAATGTTTTAAGGTCCCAGGGCCAGTCTAACTCTAAGGAGTAACATTAGCTGGATCACAATTCCAGTATGAGCGTATCAGTCTGGCCATTTGAGCCCTAATATACACAATACTGATACCCTCTATGGGTTTGAATGACTGTTTTAAACTGGCCCTGTGTTTGAAAAGAGACACTAGGGATGCACAGAAGATATTACAATGTCTTACTAGTAGTAGTAGTTACCCATTGTCATCATGTAGCAAGTAGACATGCCATGAACTAAGTCAGTTCAAATCATGATTCAGAAATCAAAACGATTTGATTCATTTGGGCTGCAGTCCGAACATTCAGAACAGAAATGGTTAGTATCTTGTGTCCATGATTGATGATACAAACGTGCACCTGCACTCAAAACAGGTTACATTGCTATCATAGTATGTTAGAGAGAAGTGTTGCCAATGCAATTGTACAAAAATTTTTGCCCTTTCGTTCCTTTTTTTTTTCTGAAAAAATCTGAGAAGTAACAGATAAAATTGGTGTTGCCTAAGGTAGTTTTGCTGCTAGTATCACAAGTCAGCTTCCTTAAGTTAAACTTAAAAAAATTACTGAACTGCAATTTATAACTATATAAGTAAACTCCTTGCATAAACAAAGGAGCACAAAAAACAAGGACTGGCTGTCTTTGCATGCAGGCCGGTATGTCCATTTATTACAAACTGGCCTCTGTGTACACCATCACAAAGCTTGCCACACCTCGAGGATCAAAACATACAAAGTTATGTTGTGATATAAACTGCACACAACACATAACCAGTATACAGTTCTTACCATGCTCTGTGGTAGATGATCCAACAGGGTAGGCAGTAACGGTAGGGAGGGAAAAACTGTTTTAGTTATCTCCAAACAGATAATTAATATTGGACTCAGTGGACTGTGATTTTGTAAAACCAAACCAAGACATCACTGTAAAGCAGAATACACCCCACAATGTCCTTGAATTTGTTTCAGTGTATTTCCTGTTTCAGGCATACCAGTACTACCTTGTACTTCACAGGGTTGTGCAAATTTCTTCATTTCCTGCCAATTGACCCAACACATTTACATTTGAAGTATAATTGTAGATAAATGGGAAATGCTGTTATTTTTATAAGAGGGAAGAAACACGTAAATGTTAGCCTTATATGTTTATCCATCTGTCTGCAATAGATGTAGTGTAGCACCTGTGTAGAATTTTAGTGTTTATACGACTCATGTGAAACTACATGTACTGCGCTTAGCTCTCATGTGCAAATAAACATCATTGTCATTTATTTAGAAATATAAAAGTGAAAACAGTGTTCAAATGTTTCCAAACTATCAAATCTATTTGACGAGCAGCTAATGACAAACATCCATGCATTTATTTTGAATGGACTCTTATTTTATCTCATTTATCATATGAATTGGTCCATTGAAAAGTGACAAGAAAGGAGGCAACAACATTTGAAATACTTGGCAATCAAACTGACAATACCCATCTAATTAAACCTGTGTGATGTAAATATGGGTATCAAAATAACAAAACATGCAATTTTCATTGCACAAAGTTAAAGAAACATCTTTTTATATAGAAACTGCAGTTACCAGCCGTTTTAAATGTGAGTGTTCCTCTGTCGTCCCCTTTAGAAAATGGTAAAAGGTGGAAAGACACGAGACCAAATATAGTAAATCTGGCAAACAACACTTCATGTCTGCTTGCCCCTCCCCTGTAGTAACTCAACAAGCTATTATCTATGGATAACATCCTGTGTTTTTAGTAAGAAATGCCATTGAAATTTTCTATTGCCGTGTGTGTCCATATTTATTGAAACTACTGTATCTAGTACTAGTGTATCTAAAAGATGAACTTGAAGGAAATAAAGAAAGAAATGCACCACTCACCGTGCGCTGGTAGCTTTCTCCCTGAATCCCTGCAGCAGTTGTTGTTGATGGTAGGACTCCCTGCGCTGCCGTGCTATCTCCTGGATCATCGATCCTCTCCGGCTCGGGTTCTGCTGAGGCAACTCCAGTTGGTCTCCCATGATTAGCGCAAATGGACAGCAGAAAAGAACCTCGCCACTACTAGAGATGCTCTTTCCTTCAGTATGTGACCAAATGTCGTGACCTCAAAACAGCCCCACATCTACTGTTGATATGGAATGGTTTGTCCTTATTGTGAACTCCAGGGTTCTGGTCAGGCCTGGGGATGAATGGGAATTCTCCTCCTCTTGTTAATGAATAAACCATGGTTGGTCCTCCTGTTGCCTAGGAACCATCTTTTATGACTAATATATTAGTAATAAACAAGGCTTTTTTGAGAAGATGCCGCTTAACACATTTCTACGTAAAAACGGTATCGTGCTAACTGTCAGCATGGGTGCCGTACAATGTCCATTTGTCACTCTGCGCATCCTTTCTGCGCCGCAGACACGGAGTTGTTGGAAGCAAGCACAATGATGAGTTTCTTTTGTTGTTGTTGAAGGGCAGATACAAAAGCGGCTTCTTTGTCCACTCTGTTGACAGATAAGATTTATGTTTATAGTGTGCTTGAAGTTGATTCCTTAATGTATCCCTGATTAGGGAATAGGTCAAAAGATCCATAAAACTTGTTTGAGGATCAACAAAGATAGGACTCAATTTGTTACTTTAATCGGGCATCATCCTCGTACAGAGTGCGAGATCCCAGCATGGATGTTTTGGACATTGTCGGCTGTTGCTATGACAACTCCAGTGTGGCTGGGGAAAAGGAGTTTTTGTGCTGCTGTGATTCTTATTCATAGCCAGCTGTTCCTGACTGTTGTGTTGTCTCTAGTCTTTTGTAAAAGATGTAGAGCAGAAAAGGATTTTTTCTCAGAAGGAGAGGATTTCTTTAGAGCAGGACATGTGTGCTGGACATGGATGTGGAGATAGAAGCCACTTTGAAGACACAGGATTACGTGCAAGTGCCGGGTAGCATGTGATGTCCATTCACTGTGTTGGACCATTGGTTGGACATGTAGATGTATGTGTTCACAGTCTGCAGATGGCCAGGTATGGAAGCTTTAGGTGTATAGATATTATAGACATTTATAGATATGATGCCATAGAGGTTTGCTTGTTGGGTGTACATTTGTATCTACTCTTCACATCTTCAAGTCAGTCAAGGTAAACAAAATCAAAACAAATGTCTAAAGGAAGCAGCTTTGTCCTTGAGATATTAAAGCCAATAAAGGTATTTTAGGCTAATTTTAAACAGTCAGCAACTGGTTACCAAAAGGCAAAAAAATATGAGACCTTTTTCTCTGTCTAATGCTATTTTCACATGTTGGTAAAAATAGTGGTACTCTGCTACAGTTTATAGAAATGGGCGCATGTCCTGTCATCCCTTTTTGTACCTTTTATTATATTAGTGCCCCCAAAGGCTACATGTAATGTATGCAATATAGACGTGTGTACCTTTATGACAGCCATTTTTAGTACACACAGCCTCATTAAGTGTTTACCAACTACTGGTCCCTGATAACGGTTGTGAGAGCACTGTATCTTATCGCACAATATACCAACTCTTGTGTCTACCATGTGCCTGTGTGTTGTAGTGTAGCTTTTTGGGGTTCATTTGATATGCAGATGTCAATCCTTAGAGGTTTTCAATGGACTGATATTATGTTGGATGAAGGTTTATTGAGATATTGCACCTAGACTATTTTTAGATATCATGTGATTCATGTCTGTATGTAGTGTATAGCTTACAGTACTTAGGAAATAATCAGCCCAAGGCCATATATACAGACGTGTACCTACACACATACACAACCACGCACTCACACACACACATACATACATACAGAAGTTTGTTTTTTTGGTGAAATTTTGTCTACCGGGTAGTTATTGAAGCTTTTATTGTCAAGGTGCAGAATGATTTTAGGTTAAGCCTCAACTGAAGTGTTTGGAAAGGCCAACATTAAATAAAAGGCACCAGAACAGTGCGAGTGTAGTTTTGCCTAACTCATCAAAACGGTGTTAATGAGTGGTGTAGCAACACAGAAGGCTGGTCTGGTGAGCTTTTCTACTTTATAAAGGTCAAGTCCAGACTACATGTACAAATTTCATGATTTTTGCTGATCCTAGAAAGTCAGATAAATAAAAGAATCTGCACTCATATTTTTTCATCATCACATGACATCTTATGAAGTCAACTGTAGGGGCTGCAGAATGCTGGACACTAGAAGTAGAACTAAGTTGGTTGAAGGTAAATTAACCCCCACTGTCTCCTTCTCCAGGCTGCAGACACGCTGGCTGTCAGACAGAAGAGAAGAATCTATGACATCACCAATGTTCTGGAGGGCATAGGTCTCATCGAGAAGAAATCCAAAAACAGCATACAGTGGAAGTAAGTCGGTAGCATTCACTCTGATAAAGACTCAAAGAGATCTTTGGTTTATATAACTTATAATATAAACAATTAGATCTTAGAAAGTTTTCAAACAAAAGGTGTTTTCTAGAAAGGACATTCAATGTGCACCTATCTACAACCCCCTTGGCCAGTTACATGAACTGTGTGACCACCCTTCAGAGCTGAAGAAAGATGGCTGATGCCTTCTGGAAACATCTCAACAAACAAAGTATTTCTTTGTTACTAATAAAAAAATAAAAATAAAAAAGAAACCAACAAACAAACTAAAACCAACCAACCAAAAAAAAAAAAAACAAAGTTGAACTTTTAGTTGTGAGTCATAGTTTAATCCTTCATCTTTTTACATAGAATATGAAATGTCCCACTGTGCCGCTATGACTGACGGTCATGTTTCCATGGTACCCCCAGGGGCGCGGGTCCAGGCTGTAACACGACAGAGATCTCCAACCGGCTGGGAGAGCTGAAGGATGAGCTGGAGGCCCTGGAGAGGAAGGAGGCTGAGCTGGACCAGCAGCGGCTCTGGGTGCAGCAGAGCATCAAGAACGTCACGGAGGACGTGGAGAACCACAGGCTGGCCTACGTCACACACGAGGACCTCTGCAGGTGTTTTAGAGGTGAGGACTGGGATTGGCTTTGGCTTGGAAAAGGGAGAGAAAAGGCATAACCGTACAGAATAAGTGCAGCAAACTCCAACATGCATATACAACACTTCCAGCACTGTGAATGAGCACTCAGCAGCGTCTTTTGGACCTAATTGTTAAAGTATGGCAATTTCTTAATCTTCAGACATTAGTCCTTGAGTCCAAGGATTTCCTTAATTTCTTAAGGATTTCAAGAGTCCAACCAAGTTCAGTGCTAGTTAAATGTATTCATTTTTTATTCTATCCAATAAAACTATACAAAAAGCAAGGTTGGATAGCTTAGTAATTGATATACTTCTATGGCAAGCCTATCTAGTATGTTCCAGGTTTTCAGCTGAAGTCTACTTGTCCATAGCTGGTAGACACATGTGTAACTCCGTTCTGACGTTCCTTCTTTCCTACCCGACCAGGAGACACACTTCTAGCAGTCCAGGCCCCGTCAGGTACACAGTTAGAGGTTCCCATCCCCGAGGCAGCGTCACAAGCACAGGGCAAAAAGTACCAGATCCACCTCAAGAGTCACTCTGGTCCAATCTACGTCCTTCTGGTCAACAAGGACACGTCCAGCTCCAGTCCAGTCGTGGTGCCGGTCCCCCCGCCGGACATGCCCGCGGTACAACAGGGCACCCCGGCTAAAGTACCACAGCAGACTGTTCCACTCATACAGCAAGGTGAGTGGACTAGGGTCTGTCTTACACTCTAACCATCTGTACAGGGTCACTTAGGATAAAAGAAGGTCACCGAATTAGTCTTGCCACCTACCGCTTGTTATAATGTGTCAATTATGGCACTCTCATAATAAAACTATGAAGATTATTTGAGTATGAAGGTTATTTCACACCAGAATGGTACCAGAAACTGAACATGGCCATTGTATATGTGTGATTGTGTGTTACAGGTGTTTCTGTCCCTGGGAAGTCCACAGTCCCACAAACATCAGTAGCAGCCTCTCCCATGGACACCATGAGCTTACCTCCCACCCAGCCCTCTCCTGTCAAACCTGGAATAGTACCAGCACTGGGTGAGTCTTCAGACCTATACTATAGAACAGACAACCTTTATATCATAGGAACTGTGACTGGCTGCACGATGGCAAACATGTTGTAGTGAGGTTATCTGACTGCTGTAATGAATAATGTTATTTGACACAAACTAGTTGCAGTAACTGTACTTTACCTACAATAATTTCATAGCTCCTGGCTGCAAGAAAAGATCTATTGTATATGCTGTACTAGCAGAAAACAGAATAAGTACTGTCCCAGAGTACATCACAGCTATGTTCTGATCTGTATTCTCTCTTCCTCAGGTGGAGAAATTCATGCATTTGGAGACATTGGTGGACTGTTTGACCCCTCAAAAGGTACCTACTGTGTTCCTGTGAATGTTACTTGTGCATGAGCCATTAATTGTGTAGGAGATATCTACAATTTCCTGACAGTTCAGTATGCTGTCTTTTTTGCGTGCGATAATGTGGTGATGTTACCCATGCTGTCATGTTAACAGATGTTTGATAATTTCACCTAAACTTTGCTATAGTCTACTGGTTTCTCAAATTTGATTTGTTCTTCCATTTTTTTCAGATCCATCCATGGATGGAGAGTTTATAGATGAACTGATGGCATCAGAAGGTAAGCCTTTTGTGGATCAAATTTTGCTGGTTGGAAGCATAGTTAAATGACATCTCTTTAAATATCTTTACTCACTGATTTTTGTCCATCAAAGATGATGGATTGGGCAAAATTCCGTCTGTCATTAGCGGCAAAATTCCATCAAATGACTGAAAGAAAGTCGTCTTGAAAACTGTGTCATCTCAAACTGCCCCTCTCTTCCCCAGCCTTCGCCCCTCTGCTGAGGTTATCTCCACCCCCTGGTGACCACGACTACCACTTCAACTTGGACGACTCGGAAGGTGTCTGTGACCTCTTTGATGTCCCCATGTTGGACCTCTAGAAACAACGGCAGCTGTTCTAACAAACAAACAAACAAACATATGAAAAAAGACCTGTTTGTTGCTGAATAAGCTACTGTACAGTTTTGTTGGACAGGATATGGTTTTTATGTAGGTACAAGTACTGGACATATTATCTGTATATATAGATGTAGACAAGATGGCTTGAAAGAAAACAATAAGAAAACCTCCCATCATTTTCCACCTGCTGGTCTACTATCAGGTGCAGTACCAATACAAGACGACAGGTGTCTCTTCTGTACAGCAAAGAAATTAAACTACATGTATTAGCCACACAGTCAAGCACAAATTGAAATGTCACAGAAAGGCATATAGTATTTCTGCCCTTCTGTGTAGGAGTTTTGTTTGGTGTATTTGTCTAGATTTGGTGTTTTCATTATTAATTTTAAAGCATCCTTTTGCAAAGTATGTGAGAGAGAAAATGTATCAAGTTTTATGCTAGCAGTAGAGATTATTTTGTGACTGTAGAGTTGGAACATGTTACTTGAAACTGATGCCATGGTGCTGAGACTATTTTAAAGGCTCTTTCTGTAATTCACGCCTATGTATGTCTGTAAGTGTGAGGCCACACAAACAGGATTTTATAGCTTAGATCAGTGTGCACCTATGTTTCCCAAACAAAAGATAAAAAGATTGAAATTACTAGATTGCTTTTAAAGATGAACAGTAGCAAGTTTGTGTGGTCTCACACTTACCACTCGTAGACAGGATACAGAACAGGCAAAAATTTGTTTACTATGCTCCAGGGTCACACATGTGTAAACTTGCAAACATGCTTATGTATCATTATCAGTAGCACAAATAATGACTAATCTCATAGCTCTAGTCAAACAAGTGCAGTGGGCCTTAAGCTATGGGTGAACATCAGGTCAGGACTAAGTGGTCTACTGTTGCCCTTGGTTGCATATACCTGCTACAATGAACAACAGTGTGTTTGAGAGAGTTCTAGTGCAGCACTCCCCAAGTATGCACAGTTTAGATACGCAGGCGTGCACTATACTTGGGGACATTGCATTGGAGGTCTCTTTGGTTGGTGGACATGCGTAACTTACCGGTCTTAAACGTTACAAATACTGGTAGCAGTACAATTAGGCTGATTGTAACATTGTGTCACTGATTTTTGTTAAAGACATACAGTGATGATTCTAAGCTATTTGTCAAGTCCAAGCTGCATCTAAGATGTCCATACATACAATGTTTTACCACTGCATAATGAAACTTACATACCATTACTTAGTAAAATTCTGCTTACTACATCTATACAGTTTAAACGTTCCAAAGAAGATGTTTTTTGTACCTTCGTCAAGGAATCAGGTGTGTAATATAATGTAGATATGGAAATCATTTTTTAAAGAAAGTGATTAGATTGTAGGAGTATTTTATGAATGGTTCTTATTAACATAGAAATTGTACTGTTTGAATCATTGTTTTTTTTATTAAAAATTGTATAAAGAAGTCTTTGTTCTGGTGAGGGAACATTTACTTTGAGAGACTGTCCTTGCTATGGCATTTAGATTGATGCTTGATGTCTTTTCCATCATTACAACACAGTCTGAATTCAGCACTGTGTCTCCCAAGCTCAAAGTTAATGTCCCAATCTACATGGTTTGATGTTACATGTTTTCAATAAAATGTTAAAAATTGCTGTTATTTTTTGCTGTGGCATGAACCTACTCTACTTGCTCTAACCTCCTAGAAGATTCTGGGGCGCAAAGGGAGTCTATTTTGGCCGCCTGTATCCATTGGCCTCTTGTAGTGGGGTGGCTGATGGTTACAGGAGGCTCCCCTTGCCCCACAGAATACTAGTACTTGGAGATTAGACTTGCTCTTCGATGATTAAGTGCGAATCATGGCCCATGTTTTCTTCTTTCCTCGCATAGACAGCCATAAACACTTTTTCTACATGACTGGCACATGTATATAACACAGGCGATCTCAACAGTTGTCTGTAATCAAAGGTATAAGTCTCAGTTCCTAGAGATTCTTGTCTCCATTTTCGTCTGAACAAACCTCCGGGTTGTGTCTGGTGTCAGTAGATTTATGCACTGCCCGTGTTACACGCAAGGGCACTGCGTCGTGCAATGTTACCTCTCCTGATAGTAAATTTTACAAACCTTTTGGTGAACCCCAACAGTAAATCTGACAAAGCTCGAAGTAACCCCTCACAATAAATTCTAACAGACCTTAAGTTGAACCCGTGTCTGATAGTAAACCTACCAAACTTGATAGTCGAACTAAAAACAGAGTACATGTACATTCACGTACAACAGAGTCTCAGTGTATCTCTCCAGCCAGTCAGGCTCTTAACACTGCCTCAATGACAGGTTTGTAGACTAGCAGGGATCTGGCAAAGCTCACTTTGGACCACCCGGAATTTAGCTAGAGGTTGAGAAGACGAGAAACAGGTCATCTATTTGTACGGACATATTTCAGTCCAGACGACTGGTTTTATATAAAATGCATAAGGCCCAAATTTCAGCATTTCCTCTTTACCGGCATTGTGGAAAGATAGGTAACAATCTGGAAGTAGTAAGACGACAGGAAAAGGAGAAACTTGAAACGATATTGTGATCGTCAAATGTAAGAACGTTGCATTCGTCAAAAGGATTCTCTCGATAAACTACTGGTATCAACGTAAAAACAAACGGCCAAGGATGAAAGATGGTCAAACTGTTTAATTTTGATATCTCTTAACCCAACCCATGCCACACGAACATTTGGGGTAGGGCTTCGCAAAATATGTCGAAGCAGCAGGACCGCCCCAGGTCATGCATTCTTTAATAGTGTGCAAACGTTATCTATCTTGATATCGTATTGGTAGCAAGTCGTCGCTGGTAGTAAATTTGTCCTATAAATTATAGACCCTGCACAGATGCTGTGTGGTTGACCTAACGCTGAACCTAAAGATGGCGGTGTGGTGATGCGCTGTATGATGTACTGGGATAATTTCCTAGTCGCTGTGCTAAGACCAGTACTACAGTACACGGTGTTAACCCGAAGTGCGTTCACAGTTCTTTGAAAAACGCCTAAGTTGTGGTTGACCCACCCGTGGCACTTGACTGATTTCTTTGTGCTCCGTCGCATAGAGCCATAGGAATTTTGGGTGTGCTACAATTATCACATTTTGTGAATTATCCACCCATCGCACTTGAACTTTATTTGTACTCTCCAAGCAAAGGTTATAGGAGAAACCTTGTGACCTTTCTATTATATGCTCCGCTTTCTGTTGCTACTCTCTACCTACCATTACTATGTACTAGTACTAGTAGTTGGTGGGAAACGGTGCATATAATAAAAACTAAAAAGGGTTACAATCTTCATTACCAACCACTATGCATCTACTAGTATCACATACCGTGAGAAAGAGTAATTTGGGGTACGGGCGTAGTTTCAATTATTGCCACTCCTGTGTCAGAGATGAAACGTTGATATCAAATGTGACAAATGATGGCGGCCTTATTAACGTGGCAAAAGTCATCGCAACTTGTCTCTCAAGTTCAGCACAACACTTAGTCATGTCAGTGTGCCTGCGGGTGCACGTGGGTGCTCACCGCGCAGACGCAATGGTTCACAAACGCAGCATTTCCAGATTCAAGCCGCGCGCCCTTATCTGCACAATAGTAGACATTTATACTGTACTAACGAAAAGGCACGCAAAGAAGAGTAACGTGTGCAAAAGTGCTATACAATACACTGACTCTCCCCATGAACAGAAGTAGTACCTTCCTGATCAGAGTCCCTACCCCCGCCCCCAACAGGTCAGTGGTTGTTGGACTGGGGCTTCAGGAGCGGGAAGGAGAACCAACCGGCACTGGTGTCTGAGTTGACCGGGTACACACTTAGCTAGTGCGCGAAGCGACAGTCATCCTTTACGGAGAGCACAGACCTGACTAGGGGAACTTAACATTATCAGTAGTCATGGCCCACGCCTGGGGATACGACCAACAGCATGGTAGCGTTTTCTTCTTCTTTTATTTTTTGCTGCCAGATATTTTCCATCGATCATGTGTATATAATTACAAGTCGGTGTTTGTATTACATACACATTGCCATTTGGTAACTTCGACTGGATGATAGTTTTATCCAATATACGTGCACCGCGTGAGTACATATATATTTGGAATGAATATCTCTGAAACCGAGCTGTTTATCGTAACGTTAATAGAACAAAAAATTCAACATTTAATATGGTTCAAAGAGGACGAAACAAGTCTTTCAGGTAGACGCTATATTGTAATTCACGAATATGTATAAGCTGTGAGGGCCATGCGGAAAGCACGGGGCCTATGTCGGGGCTATGATTAGTATTGCAGTACCAGTACGGTACTGTTTTGTTGATTTTACATATTGTTTGCATTTGTAATGTATATGTCTGAAGCGAGTCCAATTTCGTCCAACGCTGCACAAAAGTCTTGGAGGCGAAAAACTGCAATTTCAGAGTGTCAGAGTGTATCATCATGGTATCATGTTGCTAGGAGGAGTGCCGTTTTCATGGCACTTCGGAAGAATTTCCAGGTCCAACACTCACGGTCAGCAATGCACGATCGATCAAACCAACATTTCTGTTCTTGAGACCGTCATGTTTAAATTAAGCCAAACCTTACACAAACACGGTGTGTAACTAAATGCTATGGTAGTGAAATGGAGAACCTTCTTGCCATAACGACGTACATCGCTGTAACTTATTCCATTGTATGAATTGCTATGTTCAATTTGAATCGTAAAAACATGTAACATAACATGTTTATGCATACAAACGCCACTTGGCCACACAGACGCATCACAGTGTATGGTGTGTCATAGGTAACCGCCCATATCGTAAAAACACTTGTTTTTAACCTCACAAATACTTGAGACCTTGAGAAGACTTAAACGCTGCTACTGGGCGCAAAAAGTCGTGCTCTTATTTTTAGTGTAGACGGTAACATCAACAAGTCTTATAGGTCCAGATGTACAATAATATCATTTTCGTGTTACACTGGTATGGATTGATCCTTTCAATCACATACCTTCGACGTTTGTGGCCCAATTTAGAAGTAATGTCGGAGAGTAACTAATACATAAAGGTTGATGTGGCTTATATAGACATACTGAGGCACTTACGATCGAGAGATACCTAGAAAATAACCACTTAGAAATATAAGTCTAATGGCATTAGACGTGTGGGAATGTCCTTGTCGTGGGTCAGTTCTTCACAGACATGAATACAGGACAGTCTCAAAACGCCACTTGAGAAAAGACGGAATGAAGAACCCGTTGTGAGATAATTCAGTGTAAATACACACAGCTAGCGCTGAAAGGACCCGCTTGGGGTTGGAAACTTAAGTATTTTCGTGGCTCATTTCTGTATATAGGTTACCTACCAATTAATTCCTTATCCATCATTTACTCATTACACATAGTTGAGATGATTGTCTGAATAATGGTAAACTCTAGTAGGGGCTTAACGGCCCTTTGGCTGCGGTCTCGTAATGTACGTGTGGCTACCCGTAATGATTGATAATCAGTAGCGCGTTTTTGATGGCAGTGATGCTCGTTTTTGTGGTTTTACCGCCCAGTCAGTGAGACGGCTCTACAGTGTAGTCGGCACATACTAGTATATAATCGTAAAATCAGACAAGTGATTGAGTGAACAGGCCGGGGGGCTTTGCAGTTCCAAATCGCAGATATGCATGGACGAATACAAACCGTCAGACGGCATCAGGTTCTTGTCTGTTACAATGCCTGAGAAATATTTTCATAGCTGAGCATAAATTACATGCTGGATTATTGAGTAGTGCAATGTATTTATCGTGTCGCCACGAATTTTATCACGTACACATGACGAACAGTACTAGTTGACGTTGCTCTTCTGCCAGTAACCCAAGTCAGTTGGCAGTGATCCAAGTTTGGGACTAAACAGTCGCAAAGAAAACGTTTACACACTCGAACTTTGATATTAAGATTTACCCCCAGATATCACACGCTATAAATGTGAAATGAATGAATTGTTACAAGAAGCAATTTTATACATTTCTCATAGTCACATGTACAGATTTGTGTCTCTTTAAGATGACATTATCCCTCGGGGGCTGAACAATTAGCCACCGCACCCCGCACCCAGGCGCACCCGGCCAGGCCTGGTCGCACCTGCATTCTTTCGTAGGAAAATTCGGCAGTAGCAAAGGTAAATTTGCGAAGTCCTGCCGACCTCGCTTCCTTTTACAGATCAAACACAGCGGAACAACGAAGTGCCTCACAGCACTGACCCGCTCCAGTAACCCTTTGCACACACGTTGGAAAACGTACAATACAACACGTGAAATTTGAGTGCCCCCATTTGTAGTAATAATGTTTGGCGAGTTTGGTTTCTCCAAGGACGTCCTTGGTTTTGTCCAAGGAGCTTAAAATCTCCTCCAAGGATGTCCTTGGTCTAGATGTGCCATGTGTTTTGCAGATCCAGAGCTTCATCAGCTCACAGAAAACCCATTGATTAACTTTGACGTGCCAAATATTATTAGTACTTCAAGCAGTTTCTATTCAATTTGGTATGTGTGGGGTTTTTTTTACACATGCAGTATAGAATATTTCAATTTTCAGGATCACAAAATGTACCAATCACATTTGTAGGTGTATCTGTTGCATTTGTGTTTAATTGGTTTAAGTTTGGCAAATCGATCACTGAAAAATTGTCTGTTGAAAATGACGTCTAAATGTAAATCGGATTATGGGTGACTTTCCCAATCTGTACAGTACGAGGATACATGATAGCTAAGTTATGAAGTATCACGCAGAGGTGTAAATAGCATCAGCAACAACAGGCATGTCTGCGCGACATTGGTGCCAAAATATCCGCCCTGGCACCACAGTAAGGTTACATTTTAAAGTTAAAACAACAAGGGCATTGCACAGGTCACACAGCACCCATATCCGACATAGTCTAAGCGCCACCACATGACATTTAGTGATATACGATCTATATATGTCGATCGCGACATTTTATGAAGTAGGATAATCCACTGATCAAACTTCCTTGATCAGACCTATGGTATGCTCACAACTTCACAACTATTTGACTTTGCATTTTGCCTGTACTTTTTTCGCCAGCCTGAAACATAAGTACTAGTAGTGTACCAATGGATGCATAGTAATTACGGACGCTGCTGACTCTGAGCAACGTTTGGTGAGTTGCGGCCTTGCCCTCCATATATCCAATCGGTCGGCTATTGTTGAGGATATAACTAATGTGCGCAAGGCAGGCATTTTTCAAAGTTAATGACTCAAACAAACATGTTATTTGCTAAGCTACAAATGCGAGGACACGTCTCTGAACTGATTAAGATAACGGTAAGACCAGAATCAACGGCCCAGCCTGTGTTGTCGTGACAGGAGAACAATTGTGTAACAAATGAGTGACCGCAAAGTCGATCTTTCACAACTGCCATGGGTCGAACTTTGATTCCAAGGTTTACCTTTGTATTTTGTCCTCACCCCGATTAAAGTGCCATTAACGCATCCCACATTCCTTCACGTCTAGCCTGCGTATGTTTTGCTTTATACGCCTCATGGCCGGATTCACGTATAGTGCGTACCGTGATACGAAATTTAAGCTGTACGTGTCTAATCTCCAATGGAATGAGAAATCGTAACCTTTTGTGGGTATCCCGTTTTTCTGGTGCACTTGATGGCCCTTGGTGACTTTGGGTGATGTGATCGTTTTCTTTACACGTTGAATGTCGCAGTGACATTCATACACAATAGAAAAATAATGTGAATTCATCTCCAGTTGCTTTAAAAAGAGAGAAGACCTAGATTCGTTGGAAAGAATGTACTTTCTAGTACAAATGTAGTCCCTAAGTCTTTTACGTTATTCTTTTATTCTATCCTATGTACTATGTTACTCAGCATGATATACAATCATCATACTCTGATGTTTAGCCCTTCTAGCGGGCATAAACATGCAAATAAAGATTTATAATTCATACGTTTTGTAACCATACGAAGGTATGCGATCCCCGAAGTGTACCTTTTACCTTTAGCACAAAAGGGAGATATGCAAACTATTTGTGTGGAAATATTTCCTAATACCACCGGTCTTTCCACCTCTCTCCTCTTACAAACCTTACAATCCATGACGTCATCTATCCGTACGTCATAGGGTAAAGGTCATCTCGTGGGGTTTCCCTGGCGCGAACGTTTCAGTTGGAAGCTCCAGGTAAGGCCCCCGTTTCGCCTGAATTCAAACAGCATAGGTAGGGTTTAGTGGTACCCGGACCTTCGTTAGACTCTTCTTCTGCTGCCCATATTGTCAAATAGGAAGTTCTTGCGCTTGTTGTCGGTAGCAGATCGTATTTTTATAGGCCGATGACCATACGTATACAGCAACGCACGACCCCGAGTTTGACCCTTAGTTGTGTACGTGTCCTGATTACTCGTATCGTGTCTAAACCTGAAGGTTGGACGGACAGTGACATACAATGTGATTACAGTACAAGTTTCGGAGTGCTATTTTAGTTCGGGCCGGTTAGTACTATGTATTACCGCATCATGGTGTATTGAATTGGTGGTTGATAGACCAGTTGGCAGTTGGCAGTTGATGATGTTCTTTTGAATTGCCATATTCATATTTTGTCACATTGATTTTGCATAGGGTAGCCACACCTTGAAAACGTTTCATTGTGCTTGTCATATCATATTTTATATCCTGCCCACCTTTCCTCACCTCCCGAATTCTGTATGACAGATGAATTAATGTCAGAGTTTTTAACTTTGAAAATAAATAAAATGATTGAGTAAGTCGGATTAAACACATGTATTAACATGAATATCGTAACATTTTTGCTCCCTGCAACATTTTCAATACTTTAAACGTAGTTTTTTCCTTAGTTTTTCTGTTATACTCGAAACAGTGCCATGCACACTTTGTTGGCTGTAGGTAACAGTTAGAGGTATCCAGGATGACCAGGGTTGCCAGAGTGCTATTGAGTTTTCATAGAGGTCTGAAACTCCAGGCCAGATATTTCCACCCCAGTGTTTCCCGGCTCTGTGGTGATGGTGAATGGAACTACTACGGTCGAGGTGAGCAGAGCAACACAACAAATAGAAACAGGTCCAGGAATGTTGTAATACAATACCCTGTTGTCCCTAGCCCTGTATCTATGATATTAGGAAATCTGGGAGCATTCCATAACATACATGTGTCGGTCGTGCATTCTGGGTGTGTCAACTGCTGGACTGGATATTTTTCTGAACTAAACAAAGGAAAGTCTATACTGTGTCATCCAGGATTAAATGCATATTCTGCCCTAAACAAAGAAAATTCTGTACTGTGTCATCCAGGATTATATGCATATCCTGCCTTTATCTAACAATGGTAGTTCAGCCCATTCACTAGCTAATGCCTAAAATTGTGTGCAATACATGTATCTACATTTCAGGTCCAAGCAAGTGGCACGAGCATTTTCCCATTGCCAAGGGACAGCGTCAGTCTCCCATAGACATTGTCACAGGCAGTGCCAAGGTCGATCAGGCATTGTCAGATAAGCCACTGAAGATTAGCTACAGCAACAACTGCTGTCAGAGTGTCACTAACACTGGACACTCCTTCCAAGTGGTCGTGGATGGGGCCGGAACTGGTGAGCACGTAAACTTTAAATTGCTGATAATTCATTGCTATCTTTTAACTTTGATTTTATCCCAGTACATGTATAAGTTCTTGATATCATGGAACAGGATTGATCTGAAGAACACCAAAAGGTAAATTGATCCTAGTCTGAAAATAATCATTTTTGTGATCAATCAAAAGTCTGTGTAACTTTGCTTCAATCTTAGAAAATATTTTGGAATGATGTTTTCTCCACAGAGATCAGTGGTGGTCCCCTGGACAGCACCTACAAACTTGTCCAGTACCACGCTCACTGGGGTCCGCTTGGTGAGAATGTGGGATCTGAGCACACTGTGGACGGAGTCAGCTACCCTGCAGAGGTCAGTATAGTTTGAGGTTTCCATATTCAGCACAAATTACAAACACCTATGTACTGGTATAACACATTGCTCATACAGCTGCTCAAAATATAGGTCAGGAATCAAAGTCAGTACTAAATGGCTTTGATTCCTTCTTTATCAGGTTTATCTGATTTATCAGGTCTTTTTTCAACAAACTTGTGATGATCTTTTAAATCTGGTCACTTGAACAACACATGAGCAAGCTATTTTCTATATTACCGGTAGTAAGGTATCTGGTTGGAGAGAATAATATTTTCTACTGTCTTTTCAAAACCCATTATACCATTCCAGCTCCATCTGGTCCACTGGAACCAGAAGTACAAGGATGTCACAGAGGCCGTGGACAAGCCTGATGGACTCGCTGTGATTGGTGTCTTCTTCTCGGTTAGTCTGTCCAAGGAGCTTCCATTCACAGAATGTCCTTGGTCTGTCCTAGGGTTGAAACCTGTATGTTATGCTTATTAATGTGTATGGTGTATGACATGTAAAAGTAGAGTTACAAATGTGATGTAGTATATGTTCTTGCTCTTCTCAAGTTAGCAGAACCTTTACCCTCTTTGCTGTGCATTCTTGGTTATAAAATCACTTTGTCAATTATGCATACAGAGGGGGAAGGAGCATGCTGGCTTCAAGCCGATCTCTGACCTGTTCTCCAAGGTTCCTCGCAAGGTGAGTCTTTCTTTTTTACTTTCCCGTAGTGTAAGTTCTATACATTCATATCCTGACTTTTGAGGTTTGAATCTTTGTTGGTACCTTGTGTTGATATCCTGATAACTGACATGTTGTGCTATTCCTTTGACAGGGGGACAAAGTGGACATCAACTTCAATTATGACCCAGCCTGTCTTCTGCCAGGTAGATATGCCCCTACTTGATGTACAGTTTATCCTTAGTCTCTAACCACAGCAAAACTGCCTTGTAGCAGAAGCAACAAAACATGAAGATCAAGGCACACAC